CGTCCTAAGAGGGTTTCCTGTGATTACATTAACTCCGTGGCCTTTATGTGTTCAGCTTGTTTAAGGGTTTGTTTAAGGAAATTGCGAATGTCGAATAGAAAATATTGTTTGTTAAACGCTTCTACAACTTACGCAACAGTTTGATAACGTGTTTGCGTAATTGAATCATTATGTTTTGTAAATTTATTGATTTTTATTAAATTGTATATGATAGAATTATTAGACTTATTACTTTTCTATGAGTTTAAGAAGCTACTGTAATGTTTTATATAACTTTATCCATAACAGAAACAATGTATAAGAGCTGCAATGAGTGACACTCATTTACTCTTATAAAGGTGTTAGTCGTTGATTGTATTATGTTTAGAACAGAAATAGTTTTTTTTTTTTCTATAATAGTATTAGAATCTAATCTTAGACTTTTGTACTTTGATATTTAAAAAAAAAAAACTTCAAATTGAAATGAAAATCAACTTTATTTAAATAAGCTTACAGTAATAATTTATTCAGCAGTAAATACAAATGCGTTATACAAGATATATATTTAGAATACATATTGATTCTCAGTAAGACTCCCTGGCCTCCATGCTAGGAAAGTCTTGTGTTATGAAGGTCAGACTACCCTACTTTACATATTTAATTTTCTTATGTAACTTTAAAGAATTTTTAATAGACAAAAACTACAGAATTAAAAGTTAAATTGCAAAAGAAATAACACTTATACTAGTATGAAATAACAAATTCACTATCCTTACTTATCTATATCTATATATATAATAAAACTGTAGAGGTCGAATGTCTGTACGTAGAAAAAAAAACACTAAAAACCGAGTCAGAGGGATGTTAGAAGTAAAATAGAACACATCCAGATTTTTTCAATTTTTTTATTTCTCTGTCTGTTTGTCCGTTTGTACGGGTTAATCTTTGAAACTGTTGGACCGATTTAAATGAAAGTTTGCATGGCGCTACCTTAGATCACCGTTCAATATTTTAATTTCGGAAAATTAAAGAGTTCCCGTGGAATAATTAAAAACTATAGTAACTTATACAGCTTAGCACTCAATTTACTTATATAAGTCATTTTGACCTAAGACAAAGAGTGAGAACGACACGTCATTTGTTAGTTATGGTCCAGTATTCCCAGACATAATAAATAGGTATGTACATAGATCGATACATACTAAACAGGAATAACAAATACCACGCGGATAATGTCGCGGGCATCAGCTAGTTATGTGAATTAAGCTATGTCTCTACGAGTGCATGTGCTATTAGTATTTAAAAGACATAAGTGTAAATGAAGTGAAGAGTTACAGGTTGTAAAAGCAACGCTATATTGTTAAGTTTACCACGAGTCTATTTTAGTTTTACAAAAATACTTTGCTACTGAAATAAACAAGTTTCTGTTACTATAGACAGAATCTTGATTTTTTAGTATATATACATATATTGCACTAAAAATAACTCACTAGTAATAACAATTATTAGAAATAATGAACCATTGTGAACTTACATCTAAGATAAATCTGTTCCAGTCAACCCAATACAGTGGCGTAGGAAGTCTTGAGTGGACACCGGTAGTGCAAGAGAGTATTGAAACATATTTAAATACTACTACATATATAAAAAATATAAATAGACATACTTAATAATATACACGTAATTAAATCTAATAATAATACATACATAAATATGAAATGTATAAAAATTCAATATATGTGAATACAATGGTGACAATTTATTATCATCAGAAATATATAAACAGTAATGTGACATATTTGACCATATGCACATGCATATAGAGTCGAAACGTACTTCTACATTTTGAATGGTGTTCATAAAAAAAAAACGCTCGCAATTTCAAATGACTGGAAAGCGTACAGATAGGATGACTGGACAAAAAACACGCAAGCGATTTCAGCCCCTAAGGAGAAGAGAGAAGTTAATAGATTTCGTTAATTAACCCGTTCATTGGACCGAGTGATTGCACCGTTGTCCCCGGATAAAAAGTGACAATTCGTCGCCGCCGGGATTTCCAGTTACACCTTTTTACGTATGGATTGTGACTGGAGTAATCCGAGCAGGGTTCCGTTTACAGAAATAAGAATGGAAGGTTAATATCAAGAGTTTGCCGTGCCACTACTTGTTCGAGATCTTAATTAACTATCTCATTCCTTTAATTGTCTGTAGCGATTTCGTTTTACTTAAAGATCCAGTACGTTTTAACTAAAGTTGAAATAAATTTATATAACAATACGATTCGATGATATGATATTGATTATACTGATCATGATTGTTTTCTTGAGATAGTCAGCATTGGGAATTTTCGTGTCTTCTCTAAAGTCGCCCCGTAAAGTGTAGTCAAATTTATTCCTAATAGTTACGACCCTCGGCCTTGGAAGAGGCGGTGGGGGGAGAATGGAGGATTAGTAATAGGGACTAACATTGCTGGCGATATATCCTATCAGGCCTGCCTCTACGCGGTTGCCCCTGGCAACCATCGTGGCTAATTATTGTTGAATTACTCACGACGGGCCAATTGGTCTGCTTTCATCCTCATTTTTCACTGGCGCCCTGTTAACATATACTGATAGCGCAGGTGGGGGTACCATTCCATTATTATTAATTAAAAAAAAACATTCTCAGAGAAAAGAGAGAAATATAATAATCTTTTAAAGTTGCCGTTGGATATTTCCTTCTCAGTTGGGCTATTTTAATTTTAAGCAGGGCCTTTTTTTAAATGACTCTATTTCGGACATACCGAGGAATATAATCTGGTACATCCATTTGTGTATTCTATAATTCTGTATTATCATATACAATTTTGAGTGACAAAAAGTTCTCAATCTTGGAAAAGGACTGTCCCTCGCTTAGAGACCCTTACCTAAATAATATGTAAAAAGACAAGTAGGCTGTAACATTCTATTATGCACCAAATACAGAAATTAAGTAGAATGCTTCGTAAAATTAGTATATACATATGTAGAGGTTATTCTTAGCAATAAGGCTGCCCATTGTTTACTCAGTGTAATATTTTATTATTTTTAAATGTTTGTTTAATTTTTTATTATTGTAATCTTATGGAGGAAACAATAAAGAGTCTTCATCTATATATATATCTATATAAATCACCCACAACACCAAAGTTTTTTACTCTTTTCTTGAATATGTTGTGTATCGGTTCGGAAATACTGCTGCTGGAAGTTGATTCCAAAGAATGGTTGTGCGTGGAAGAAAGTGCCTTGAAAAACGCATGGAAGACCGCCACTCGTCCAGATGATTGGGATGAAACTTGGTTGTACGGTGGTGAAAATCAGCAGCAGGTATCAATCCGAACAATTCCTCAGAAAGTCCCATGATAAATTCGGTAGAAGATGCACAGAGACGCAACATCTCTGCGCAGTTTCAATGGGTCAAGTCGGACAGTAAGGCGTTGACTATCGATTTCGAGCCGCCCGACTTTGAATTCTAACTGGGAACAGTATTCCATATTTTGCTTTATATAATCAGGCGGTGTGGCATGAAATATGTCTCACCCTATTACTAACTTTTTATATCTTAGCCTTCTCCTCCAGATGACCGCAAAACTGGACGTCGCAAGATATATCTAGACTTGACTTTTTATCAAGGGAAGTGCATACGACAAACGGCGTCTTTTTTGCGGTAAACGCGCAGACTTGTGTCTTTTTGGGGTTAAATTGGACAAGATTTTGTTCATAGATCGAAACTTGATGGAGTGAAGTTTCGATTTACAAGTCTATTACTCATCGGTATGTATATACGGTATATAATGTATACTGTCGTCCGCATAGCAATGAATATTACTTATCTGTAAAATATCATTGATATGCAGAAGAAAAAGAGTCGGAGATAGTACACAGCATTGCGGGACACCAGCATTCAAAGGGGAACCGTCGACTTAAAAATACCCAAATGCACAGAACAAATGAAGTGTATCCTGCCACACCCGATTCATTAACTGAAGTACTCTCGACAGCCCATCGGTGTGTTAAGCTAAAAGATCACCGGCCGAACAAAAACTCACCTGTAGTTGACGGTTAATGATGGATTCCATAATTATCTGTAGTTTGGCGATCTCCTTTTTAGGGATCGGATGCATTTTCCAAAACTTTGGGACTATTAAGCCGAAAAAGACGCGTAAGAACCGGAGCCGACCGTCTAAGCACAATTGGAGGAATTGGACTCAATAAGAGCTCCTACAACACGTGATGGTCGGTGGTGGTTTCTCCCCGTCATATTTGGATCCAAGAAGATCGACCTTTTCTTTAGCGTTCTGGTGCCAACCGAGCATTTAGGTGGAAAAGATGCGGTGTACAGTATGACTCACAATTGTTATTATTCATCTGTTCTATATAAATCGGTCTGATTATAATATTTTATAATTTTGAATTTATGTCTAATTGGGGGGAAAAGATTCTCGAGTGTCCGCGAGATGGAGTAATGATCTTAAAAGTGTAACAGGAAATAAATGGATGCAAGTGTACTTTGTGGTCATATACGTGAGCCTATGTTCATCAGACATTCATAGGTGAGCTGTAATGATATTGTGATATGTCTAATGTTTTATTAATATAATAAAATTATAACTGGATAATGTTTGTACTTGGAACGATATTTAATAAAAATAACTACACAAAAACTGGTTGTATTATTATGCTTTCTAAAAGTAATATAATTAATTGGTGTTCCTACATCTGAAATAACACATATGAAGCCCTATTTATGAGCGCGGTGGTATGACTCACAAAAAGTTCTATATAATATTAAACATTTTAATATTATAAAAAGTAGCAGGAAATAAATGGATGCAAGTATACTTTACGGAGATAATATAGGCATATTCATCAGACGTTGATAGGTGAGCTGTAATGATAATTGTGATATGTCTAACATCTTATCTTATTACAGAAAATTAAAAATTAATTTTTAGTGTATAAAAACCACTACACTAATTTGACTGTGGGCTTTGACTCAACAAATGTGTTTAGTGAAGATTATTAATTTAGTGGCAAATTTATAATACCCTTCTTTTGGTATGTCCTCTTTGCTCCGCAGATATAGAACCCTGGATGCGTGAACGCTCACTCTGTTCAGTATTTTTTGTTCTTTTTTTACAACGAGAGCCCCGCTGTCTGTTGAATGGTCGGGCGTTAAGTGTAGCCTTTTACCTGAAAATAGAGAAGAGAGTTTAATTTTACGAGCGCACAGCCTTTGAAGTGAAATGGAATACAAAAAAATAAAAAAAACAGTATTTGCTACTTAACTGTTGTAATTGTAAAAGTATACGACATCCTAAATAATTTTGTTTTTATTCAACTTAGAATGGCAAACAAGCTGACGCTCCACCTGATGGAAAATGGTAACCGTCGCCTATAGACATGAGCAGTACCATGGTTATAACAGAGTATACTGTTTCGCCCATGATACCCTCCATGCGTTGCCATTCCTGAGGATTCAGATGTTATTCCTCTGTACCCTGTAAATTCACGCAATATCCCACCCTTCAAACCGAAACACAGCCATGCAAACACAACTGCTTCACGGTAGAAACACCATTGGAACAGAGGTACTCAAGCAATCTATTTTTGTACAAAGTCTCCCTCTGATAAATATAATAGTGAAAAAGTGTAGCTAAGAGTTTAGTACTGGACTTTCTCTGCTTGTCCTATTTCCTTGCAATGGATACCTGGGGTAGAAAGAATTATTACATATAAAGTCGTTGACGTTACAACTTCGTGTAAGTTGAAATTTGTCATTTTGAGGGTGAGCAAAAAAAACTTTCTAGAATCTCTGTTTCTGTTTCATTATCGTCATCAGCATATAAGCCGTTAACTATCCACTGCTGAACATTCTTCATAAAGGAAGTTTTTCCAGTAATTGCTACGCTTGGCAAGCGGGTTGCCAACCGCAGTTAGGCTTTTAGTGATGTTTTAATAGGAACACTACTGCTCAGCCCTCGCCCTTCCTTAGTTACGCGAAGTTAAAATTTTTAAAGAAGAATGAAAGTAACAAAAAATACGTGCAAATCAACATTTTATAAACATAATGTGTGATACTAAACATATCAACATATCAGTTTAGTTCCCTTACTCTTACGACATCCACTGGAAAGGAATGAGTGGCCCATCCTATGCTGGGACCAGAAGGCGTTACGTGACACTAATATATAAGAACATTATAAAATACTAGTAATCCAACCCGGCAAATCCAATCCAATCAAAAATTTTAAATTTTTTCAAAAAATAAATTTTTTGATAATAAAACGAGTATATAGCCTTATTTTACTCACTGTTAACACAGTTGTCTTATTATTTTAGAAATTTGTCAAAATACAAAATCTCGATAAATTAAAAAAAAATAAGTTAAAATTTTATTATTTAAATTGTATGGAATACACAATATTTAAATTCAAGTTTTAAATAAGCAAGTTTCTGTATCCGGAAAATATCCATTTGTTTATAAACAACTTACCTCTTATTCTATTTTTAGATTTCACTCACTTTCCTGATTCATCAAGAATTTTATTCAACAGTAGGTAGACTTTATATTCAAGGGTTTCAAAAGTTTCTTAGTTTGTGGCACACTTACATGTTTAGTGTTGTCAAAGTTTAGAGAACACTCTTACTTACGATCTGGTATTTCATTTAGACTGTTTATTTCAAATATATGTACAATATCAGAAATATAGTACAGTAATGTTTTCATTTCTTTTATGATAGTACACAGTTTCCGGTGAATGGGCCACTTCGCGGCACTCTTGTTTGTTCTTCACCCTACATCCTACCCTGCATCCAACTGCGTCGTACAATTTGAGAATCCCTGCTTTATTTACTTTCTCTGATCGTGATAGGTCGCTCTCCCCCACCGATACCTGCTATTCGCATCCGCATTGTATATCTATTTTACTATCCTTACATCCGACGTTCTTATCGAACTGCGCAATTGTGGATATATTAATAATTTATCTTTCCACACGATGGCTCTCAGTAAGGAAGTATATTTTTTCTTATGCAGTTTCTGAAAGTGAAATGTATTGTTAAATGCCCGTAAAGGTTCATACTAATTTTATCATGTTCACCTTTTTACTTTATCTGAGCAGCAAGTACTTTATATTATTCTCAATTTCGTGTATATATTTGTTATTTATAACATATGTAATTATTCGTTTATATATGTAATTTTAGTATGTATTTATAATATTAATAATTACTAGTACCGCATTCGAGTATTCTGACACTTCCCTATGGTTGATTGGGAGAGAATGCTTTTAGCATTAAGTCCGCCATGTACACATATTCGTACTAATGAATAAATAAAAAATAAAAGAAATTGATGATGCCATTATTGTTATTTGTAATGAATAATTTAATATCATAACAACCAGTTTCAAGTATTGGCAAAATACCCTTAGAGGTACCTTAAAAATACATAGAGGGAGGTATATGTTTAACACGTGAAAAAGAGAAGCTGTTTTTGTAGTTCATCTAAATAATACAGATTTTTGCTGCGTCCTCTTTTTAATAGTATTTGTATTTTCATTCAATCTCTGGCTGTATGTATTGAACAACTGTATGGAAATTCGGCAGTATACTCGTACAGACACGGTAGGTATGAGCAGCTGCGATTTTTAACATAAATTATGGCTGCCGAAAGGATTTAGATAGTAGGACCATCTGTTACCATTTAATGAATTATTTACAAAGCAGCTTTACTTCTTTACCTTTATTATTACGTAGACTATAAAGTAAATAATAATCACAACTGTAATTGAAATAATGCTATCAAAAGCATTTTATGTATTTTGTTAAAGGAATTAACGTATTTTTTTTTATTATAAATGTACTTGATTATATATAGATGGAACATCGAGTATTAAAACATGCCAACTAAATGTTAACTACTTTGATACATATACTTTTTTTAATTTGAAACAAATTGCGCCATTTTTCTTCAGTGTTGCAAGTAATTGGATTAAAAATTTTCCTGATCAGATCAGATATTTTAAATTGAAATGTGAATTTTTTTTTATATAATATAAATACACATATGCTTACAAACTAATATACATGTATTAATTAAAATAGCGGGCATTTTGAATGGTTTCCAAACGAAAATATATTTTACGTCTACACTTGGATATAAATCAATATAATCAGTAAAGATAAGCATTTCTCCCATATATTGAGTAATGAATGAGTTACGATAACCCTATTTGCGCACACGTAATTAAAAAATGTACCTGTTTTGTATGTAAACATTTGAATAGGGATACTCTATTTATATAATGTAAGAAATAGATCTATTTAGTTATTACCTATTTCTGAATAGCTATTTATATATATTGACGAATTATTTTAAAGAAGATAATAACTGTACATTCAATATAATGAATAAACAAATACTTGAAACAAATAATTTATTGTAAGAGACGGGATGAATTATTAATGGCTAAATTACCAGTTTTCAATATTAGATAGGTATCTTCATTATTTGAAACCCTTAATTCGAGTATAATTAGAATTCAAAATACTTAAATATAAGAGAGTGCTTTTTTAAATATAATTTATAATTATAACAATAATGATTAATTTGTTATCATAAAATAAATAGACAAAAATAATAAAAACTTGACGAATTTTATTTTGCTTTATCAAAAGCTAGGCAATGTTTATAAACCAGAAAAGATGCTTATTAAATAGTCTTGCGACCAAACTTCTTACGATGTTATAAAATTTAATTAAGTAAATTATGAACGCGATGACTTCTTAAATATTAGAAGGAGAATAATTATTTTGAAATGATTAAAAATTGTTATGGTTTCTTTATGGCTTTATAAGTATATTTATTATAGAGCTCGACTCTTGATAATGAGTTTCCAATCGAATAATTTTGTTTCAGTATTTCTTATTTATTAAAGTAATAATTCTTAATGAAAATATGTAATTTATGATTGAGTTACACAGAAAAAATCAACCTCCATTATGGCAAAACTTGTTACTTAAAAAATTAAACTATCTACTATTAAACTATACTATCAATTAAAAATTGATTTTAATAAAATTTACGTAAAATTAAAAATCTAAATCGGTTTACGAGTACAAATGACACAGTTATAAGGTAACAAATGTGAATATATAAGCCAATTGAGAATCTCTTTTTGTAGCCGCTTGAAAAATAAAGATATATTGAAAAACGTTATAAAGAACTTAGTCTATTTGGTTCATGTATTTTAGTACGTAGGCTATGCACATTGAATATTTCAGTGTATAGAGTTTATAAATATATAATAAATTTTGAGTTGATATAACATTAAGATAATTTTGGTCAGTTGAGCTTCTTTAATGTGAATAATTTTATTAATTAAGATATAATATAATTTTGATAATTTCAGCTTTTTTAATGTATATAATTTTTTTTTTATTAAAATATAATTGCGTCAGTTGAGCTTTTATAATGAGAATTTTTTTTAATTGATATAAAATAATCCATTTTTTTTATTAAATAAATGTTTCTTTATCAGTTTCACTTACTACAGACTTTTTCCCTAATATAACGGATTTTCTTGTCTTTCTCAGAAAATATCCTACTAATACATATAATAAATGCGAAATATTACAACGATGGATGGTTAGATGGATGTTTGTTACTCTTTCAAGCAAAACCTACGGAATAAATTTGAAAGAAATTTAGTACACTGGTAGTTTATATTCTGTATTAGCACATATAATACCTTATATACTGATTCCCATGGCTGAAGCAACGAGATATAGTTAGAATCACATACAATTGTAATTGAAAAAAAGATTTAGACTTTCCACCTTTATATCTCCTATTTTCCGGTATATAACGTGAGAGCGACGCCACATATTCCATTTCATCTAATACTATTGTTCAGGCACCAGCTTAGCTTTAAATCGGAGGCAGGTTTTATCTAGACAAATTCAGTGGAGCGTGATATACCTATAAATTGTATGCGGGCCCATAGAAAACAGAGGTCCAATTAATTGTTTACGTGGAACTAACAAAATGCTATTTTCAACCGACTTAATAAAAGGAGTAGTAACGGAGTCATAACTATGTTAGTTCAGAATCGATTTCAAAAATTCCTTTTTTATCTGAAAGAATATGCTTACAAATTATCTCCTGAGTCCTCAGGAATGGCAACGCATGGGGGGTATTATGGGCGAAACAGTATACTCTGTTATGTCCATGGTACTGCTTATGTCTATAGGCGACGGATACCATTTTCCATCAAGTGGGCCGTCAGCTTGTTTGCTATTCTAAGTAGTATAAAAAAAAAGATTAGTCCTATAAAAAAAATATCAAAATCGGTTGAGTAGTTTAGTTTTTAGATCAAAACTGGTTCAGTCACAATTGAAGTCGGTTTTTTTATGGGGCTCACTTTAATTATGTACTTATAATAATACTACTTGTTTCACTTGGCTATACTTGCATGGATTAAATTATGTCAGAAAATTACTTTAGTGGAAAATCTCTGTCTAGTGTGATATCTATAATATTGTTCATGCCTTTGGTGCTGGTGACTATTTTCATAATCTTTTTCTACTGTTCTTAGTCCTAGAGTTAAAAAACTCCGGATTAGAGTTAAAAAACTGAATCCGGGTTCAGTATATCTCGTACTAGTAATTAAAACATTGATTTTTGGCTATGTGTATGGTAGTGTGCCAAGGTCAGCTCTATAAAGGGAGGAAACACGCAACTGCATATATGTAATATGAGTATATTAACTTGTGCTGTGAATTTTTTTAATACTCATGACTTTTGTTATGATAAAAATGAAGCATTATGATAAATATGTCATAGTAGAGTCGATTTTGAGACGTCATTTATTTAAATCTATATCTAAAGTTAAAATTTTAATTCGATATTACAGAGAAATATTTATTCTAAGAACTAAATGTTCAATAGATTTAAGTCGAAATTATTACAAACTTAGTTTATGGTAATCTATAAAATATTAAGATTTGCGAAACTACCAAATTTAAATATTTCAAGTTCAATTTAGAGAAATAAAACCTCAGAATCGGCCGAAGTACTGCCCAATATAAATGATATGGAGTTTACTACCATAATTTTTGCGAATACAACGCGATATCTGAGGTGATTTCTTATGTGGGCACTTAGCTTACAGAAAGTACTCGTTGTCAAAGTTTTCCGTAAGAAATCAAAATTCGTAAAAATAAAAAAAAACTGAATGGCTAGAAATATGGAATATTGAACAGAGGTATTTTACAGAACCTAAGTGTGGGCTAAGAAAGGATTTCTCAGAAATATAAGTATCGAGATAATGATGAGCTAGCTAAAGTAGCAATGAAGGTGTCACGTAGCTTGAACGACTGGTAATCGATGGGAGAAAAAATTTTGAAGCAGTGACTGTGTTTTAATTTTTTTTTTCATTTTCATTCTCATGCAGGAAATCTGTGTAGGGTGATACTAACGAGTTAACGGGCAGTGGATAAAAACGGAGCTCTCGAGATTGTACTTTTTTTGCAAAATATGAGACAAATACACTTGCTTATTCTTTTGTTAACTTTGGCAGCGTGCCAGTGAGGTCTGATAGGGAAGTATGATGTCATATTTTGCAACTTAGCTCATTCACTGTAAGCTCCGAGCAGCAACCTATCAATTTGCTTGAAGATGTCTCGTTTAGAGGTGAGACACGGGTCACAAAACATGCATGGACTGAGTAGCAATCGGAACTTGATGGCTAATGGCTTGATGGGTAATAATAATACTAGTCAATCTTCGAGTATTGGTACGTATATTAATGGTAGCAAAATTGAACAATATAATTCTAATAAACTAATTTAGCAGGAATTAACAATTATGATTTCCGGAGTATCACATTTATATCTATTTATGTTTTTTTTTTTTATACAACTTAGAATGGCAAACAAGTTGACGGCCCATCTGATAGAAAGTGGTAACCATCGCCTATAGACATGAGCAGTACCATGGACATAACGGAGTATACTGTTTCGCCCATGATACCCCCCACGTGTTGCCATTCCTAAGGACTCAGGTGTTATTCCTCTGTACCCAGTAAATTTATGCCATATCCACCCTTCAAACTGAAACACAGCCATGCAAATACAACTGCTTCACGGTTGGAACACGAATGGGACAGAGGTACCCAAACAATCGACTTTTGTACAAAGTCTCCCTCTGGTACAATGTATGTAGATTGGTTATAATATTACTAATATAGCCACTAGTCTTAACTACTAATAACTCTTACTCTCGGCGATAGATCGGTCATAATTATGATGATAAAATATTATTGACATAACAATGTTTTTTTTTTTTTCTCTTAAAAACAGGTAAGATAATAACAAAAACAATTAATTAATTTAAATAAATTATAACTTGCCACCATTCCTCATAATAATCATATATTTTATAAATTCTATTTATTTAAGAAAACTGCCAAGCTTAGCTATCACGTCTCGTTGTAAGTTTTTTTGTTGTAAAAAAAGTCCCTACTTGGCTCTTCTGCGATTGCCGGGCGAGACACGTTTTACGTGCCCCCTGTGTCCGATTGCACCTCCTTTGAATTACTGTCGACTGCTCTCACCCTTAGGTTATATTCACTCGAAAATTGTATAGATAGATACACAATATATACATGATTGTATTGTTTTATAATACTGATTATCGCCATACATTACTTAGCACCATTTTAAACAATAGTCCTTTGCCAGAGTAGTGCTTGTCCTGTGAATTTTAAAAGGTCAACAATGATATAAGATTTTCTTTTAAATGTAAGTATTTGTGAACGATAATAGTCATCTTTCATTAAGCAAGCCGACTGCTCGTTTACTTCCAAATATTTATTAATATCTGCTTCCTAATATTTATAAAGTAATTATATATTTTTCTAACTTCTTAATTATTTTTATATATATATATATATATATATATATATATATATATATATATGTATATATATATTTTTAATTATACTGATATATTGTACCAACTTACAGTTCTTTCGCCTACATTGGTAAACTGGTAGGTTATCCTAACTTAATACATGCGTGCAACGCCTCGCGAAAAAGTAAATAATAAATTCCAGACAATTAAAAATTACACTATTGTGTTTGGAATTTTAAAATTAAGATGTCTTCTACGTCTTCGGTAAAATTTTATTCATATTAGAAGATATTCGGAGTTAATAGTTGCATTAATAGTTGCAGTAGTTCCAAATTGCATTGTAGACTTAAATTACAGATTAAATTCTATTTAGTGTGGTTAAAGCAGAGGAAGGACTACTCGGCACTGTACATATTAATAAATGACACCTTATAGATATAAAGGAGAGAATGTTTCTAGGAGACGAGTGGAAGGTATAGAGATGAGAATACGTGTGATGAGTGAAAGAGATGCAAGATATAGGTGTGACAAATTGATTAATTGAAATTTTAAGATATTATTATGACTTTAAAATGTACAGAATGTTTCGAAGTATATGACAGTGTAAAAATTAATTCCGTGACCACCCATAACCGTAGTATCATTTCATTTCATTTATTTATGTCATAACAATATACATTGTGTCGATAACTTTGTTAATACAGGTTCTAAATATATACTACAATTCAATAATTATTAATTATCATTTATAAATTTATATTATATAATTGGGATCTTCAAATAAATAAATGAGTTACTGTCTGAACATTTTTTATAAAGAAAAAATATTATTATATTCTTCGTGTGTTGGCTGAGGTCTTAAAATATTATATCACATGTGCTCTTAGTAAAGTCTATTTTCTACATACCATTAGATAGGCGTCAGCTTGATTCCAAATAGGGTAAAATAGCCCAAAAATCCACACATGATAATTGGTCCAATTTCGGCCACGAACAGCACTAGTAGGTATTAAATAAATGCTCCAACCTAAAAACTTTTAGGTTATTTGTTACATGAATAACTTTGCTAGGTCTACGTTATTCCGTATAGTTACTGGAACTGATAACATTAAACCTTCTAGAGTTGTAACAAAACCTCAACTTTATTTATGATACTCGATTCTATGTGTCGAAATAATCTATTATTTTGATATATACTTTTATGGTAACACGCAATATTTTTTTTACGCATGAATATTATTTCAATTTTGATTTAGTACTCTCAGACTTGAAATAGTTTTCGTAAACCTAATATAAATAGTACTTAAAAGAGAGTAGTTTAATATGAATCTAGATTATTCAATAACCTTTTTTGACGTCCAGTAAGACGATATTGCGTTTTACTTAATTAGTGTAATTTTGCTTTGCAAATGAAAAATATATATCTACTAATAAACGACGAGATGTTTTACAGAGATACTTGTATATATATCTCATTAATAAAAGTGAAAGTTTGTAACGATGAATGGATGGATTTGAATGAAAGTTGGTTTACAGATAGGCTATATCCTAACATAGCACATAATATACTTTATGGACGCGAGCAAAGCCGCCTGATATAGCTCGATAATTAATATTTAAATTTAGGTATATTTGAATCATGTATTTATTTTTGGTTCCATAAATAACACAGTTTTTGGCTCCCTCAATAAAATACGGTCGAATATTAGATTTTTTTTTCTAGTTTTAATACGTTAGGAAATCCTATTAATTAAAAAAAAATGTGTAATTACAATTACGTATATTACGTATATACGCTATATTATTCACAGAAAAAAAAACAAACCAAGTCCGAACCAACCTTCTTTTAGAAGTCGTTTAAAAATGATAAAACCAATTTATCTGCTTTACTCATTGAACACATTTTATATATCTGTCCATTTCTCCAAGTCATGTCCTTACGCATGAAATACGAGCGAGCTGAAATCCTCATCACAGCGGGTCAATCGAAGTATATGACAGATGTTCACCGACAAGATGTCAACTTGCCTTAGTTATTCATATCAAATTCTCGCCCCTAATATTATCGATGTCAGAGTCACAATTCGAGCGTTACGTGCCTTACCCCCAACCCCCCAATCTACCCAACCTCTATACCCCCTCGGCTATTCCCTCGTCACGTATCGTGGTAAGTATTTCCGAGAAAAAGGCCGGTTTTGTTGGCACGCGATTTTGTGAAATATACTAAGTATATAATATAAAGTTGGTATAGTATATGATAGTATACAATACCCGAAACAGTATTTATCTTAGAAAGAAAATATACTTAATATAATAGATAATATTATGTAGATAATGGATAAATTTTAAAGGTAATTTTGTATAGTAAGTAATATATCATTTTTGACAATCCAAATTAATTCAAGAGATGGCGGTAATGTGAAGTCGCAGCTTTTTTTACAATAAAACTTTAATTGTATTTATTTACGTCTGCTTTATTCACGTTCCAACATAGCCTTAAACCACGTTCATAAATGAGGGCTTCTATTGAGTTCGAAATTAGTTAGAAATTCTCAGATTTAAAACATGAGTAAAGCTGACATAAATGATTAAAATACAGCATGAACTTGCAATGTTTATTATTTAACAAAAAAATATTTATTTAGTTATACTAACACAATAACAACTATATATAATTTCAAATTTAAGATATTCTAGAAATTGGAAAGTTTTTAAAAGTAAGAACGAATTTTAAAGAAATTTAATACAAAAATAGATAATAGCTTATAAACATGATATTCTAAATTAATTACAAAACATCTCTATTAGATACTAAATGAACTAATATATTGCAGATCAACAAGAAATAAAATTTGTATAACAAGATCTATTTATTTCTGTTTAAAGAATATAGGCCAACAATTTCGTGATATAGCCCATCGAAAACATGCATTCGGTCTGTCTTAAAACAGTTGTCTATCCACATCTCACGGCACGTCCCAAAGGAAACAGTTGTTTTCGATGTTTCTCATAAAACTTGTGCAGGACTATATGAGCCAAGTAAGAATCTTATTTTCTCCTTGTCCGAAGAATAATTTTATGTACCCTCCGGTGAATTTGATGTCTTTTATATCAATGGAGCAAATATGTTTAGAAAATTGTAGTAATTGAAATTAGAATTAAAAAAAAATTAAAAGGGAAAGAATGAGATAGAGCGTGCTATGATGGTTATTTTAATAGGTGATAATTAAATAGGCATGGTGTCTGTACTATCGGTGTATGCTGGAGAGGCACCAGTAAGATGAAGAAACTAGGTCAGTTAACCCATCGTGGTGAATTCTGCAAGAATTAATCAAGATGGTTTCCAGGAAAACGGCGTGGAGGTTTGTCCGTTACGATGGTTCGGACATGTGGAATGAATGTCATTTGAATGGTTGACAAAACAGATATATGACGCAAGTGTAGATAGATGCAGGTACCGGGTAAGACCTAGACTAATTATATTGAAATATACCGTACTTTTCCTGAAGAAGGTCTTAAGAAATCTCCGGAACTAGCGTGCATGCATGCAACGAGTTATGAAAGTGCAAGGAGCCAGAGAGAGAGAGAGATATATATATATATATGTAAAGATAGATATTTTTTGTATTCGATTCTCTTTGCCTCCACCGCAAGGAACTATGCATGAAGATGCCATGATGTAAATAGATGAAATGATAGAACTAAGAAAATATTATAACAGTATCTAGATAGAGTAATTCTTGTAAATGTTTAACACGCCGTTACATCTCTCTACGATCACAGATTCGATCTCCGCATAATATAAAATATGAATGTGTCGGACTGGGTGATTTCTATATAGAAGATTTTTAGTATAATAACTACCGATTTAACTTATATGTAATTTGATTGAGAAAACTGGACTAGTTTGGGGACCATCCTGAATATCTTGAGCGACTGTGACACCAGTCTAACTGCGCACCTCAATCCGTCGAACACGAGCTGTAGGCGTTCGCGGCACTGTAAAAGATAAGAAACATAGCTTTCAGACATCTTCAGGTATGAACGGCTGGGCTACGAAGTCTTTCTCTTCGCCTATCGTGTTATTATTGTTGATCATTTTAGTAATCTGTTGTGTGTAATAGTGCCCACTGGGTCATCTTTTAACTCGATATCTTCAAAAAAAAGTATTTAAACATGTCTAGCAGAAGTCTAACACCCATAGTACAAGCTTTGTTTAATATGTTATTTTAATTAACTTCGTCACTGTATAATATATGTGTCGGTAATTATTTAAGAGCCTTAACTTTTAGTGGTCTTAAAAATGAACAAGGCCTCGAACCTTAGGTCTTGAATTTTAATTGTTATTAAAATTCATCATTTAATTTTGATTTGTACAGTTAAATTGTATATGTATACCTACAGTGTACAAACACATTTTATTTATATAGATGGTGTGTTTTGATTTAACATTCCGCAATCTTTCAATGTATCCCACATTCGGTGCGTCAGTTTTGTGTCCGAAGGGTTAAGCTTCTAAATCATTCTTGTTTATCGCTGCCAGGCATGACCCTCTGAAGGAAGTTATTGGCAGTCCGTTTGTACCCTACACCCTGAAATATATCGAGAAACATGAATTATGGTCAGGGAATTGAAATATTTTAACGTATGTAGGTCAGTTTCTATATGTTACTGAATAGTATTGAGTTTTTTTTTTGTAATTTAATATATAAAAAAATATATAATTAATTTGTTTCGATAGAACATGATAAAAAGTGGATCAAGTTTTGTGAAAATTATTACAAAAAGACTCTTTCAATGAAATTAGTAATACTAATGTAAACATAGGATATGTTTACACATAAAAAAGTTTTTTTTTTTTTTTAAGTATAAACTTGTCTTCATTGGTGTACCTTGGGAGAGGTCCATGTCAAACAGTGGACCAAAAATAATAGTAATATAGATATAAATATTTGGAATTTATTATGTACACTTATAAAGTATTAACATTATAATCGTGAAAGTGAATTTGTTTGATGTTTATTGTCACTTGCATAAACATATTGAATAATAACAAAATCTTTATAGAATATCGAAATCAATAACAAAGTATCTTTTTGAAATTTCTGCAAAAATAGAAAGTAGGCGAGACATTTTTTATTAAATTAATAAAAAAGGGTCTTCTAATATTAAATCTAACTGACTCAAGAAATGTAATTTTGCCCTTCACCGTAATCCGTCGGGCTATTTTTCATATCAGGATAAACTATCCTGCCTCACAATTCGGAGTAAACTATACACATTTAGAAAATTTTATTAAAATCGGTTGATCGGTTTTAAAGATTTAAGTGAACGAATATCTTAACACGAGATTTTTATATATTGAGGTAAATTTAGGTTACCAAAGCTCAAATGTAATATTGAAGAAATCTAGCCATTTTAAATAGGTATCAAGAGATACCTGATACCGGTATAAGCCGAGTTTTGGCGCTTATTCTTTAGGGTAGTGACAAACGAGGCGATTAGCAATGGGTCGTTTCGACACGCTGACATATTATACACATTGTCGCGACCAAGCTTTTTACATGATTATTCCTTTTTATTCAGTAGTTGCGTAAAATGAAAACGATTGCCGGCAATATACTTAACCAATATTTAAGCTGATGCTTTTCTTTAAATATTGTTGCAAAGCAAAATATCTAATGTAAACATGCAATATTTACAACTGGCTAACCTCGCAAATATAGCTTTGCCCGCTACCGCCATCTACCGAATCGATTTATTCTTAAGAATTATTCTATCTCTGCAGTTGTAGTTAACAATACGTAGGTTATTTGATTAGAATTATTTTGTTTATTGCCGCTATCGTTACTATGTAGGCGACTGCTAACATTCGAAAATTGATTACTATTTTTATTACCAGAAGTTCAACAACTTTCTTACTATTGGACGCCCAAACTATGGACGGTTAACACTAGGCTCCCAGCAGCAATCTATTAATTTGCCTGAAGATGTCTCCTTTAGAACTGAAACACGTGTCGCAAAACAAACTTGGACTAAATAAACTTTATATATAAAAAAAATATAACTAAAAAATGTATCCAGTTACAATTATATTATACATGGGAGGTAATTAAGAAAATATGATGTTAGGGGATTTAAATAAGGGCAATCAAAGTC